AAAAAAAAAAAAAAAGATTGAAGCACAGAAACTCACCTTCAATTCTGCACGGTCAAAACTTGCAAGTGCACAGAGACCACCATACGTCGCAACATCTTGCGGTGCAATCACTTCTGTGTAGCTGTTCCCCAGATCGGGGCCAGTTTCCAGGAACTGTAAATACCCATGGAATGTAAGACAATTCAATAAAATGAGAAGCATATCTTTCTACATATTAGCTGAGACTCAATCAAGTCAATCTATGCAGTTAATGAGTCCAATTTGAAATAAAAGTTCCTGTGAACTCAAGAAACCCATCATACACCAGTAGGGTGCAGTAAATCCTGTTTGTCCTCAACCAGAAACTTCATTGGAACTTCTTTATCCATAAAGAAAAAATAATTACCTGAATTTCTAAAATCAAAATTTTCTTTAGGGAAACACTTCACCTTGTAATCCACACATTTCGTGGGACCACTTATTATCCATAAAGAAAAACAATTACCTAAATTTCTAAAATCAAAATTTTCTTTAGGGGAACACTTCACCTGGTTAAGCTATAGAGGAGCCCAAAGTGTAAAGCATGAGCTATTCGACTATTCCCCAGTCTTAAAAACTATGGAACTCATATTATCTTATCTACCAATAGTTTCCTGAAAAATTTACTTTCTCATAACATTTTTAAATAAATATTCTTTTCTATGTACACAGCAAGAACTACAGGCAAAAATAGAACCGGACAAGGTGCCAACAAAAATAATTTCCAACCCAAACTAACCAAACGCATTGTCTTAATGAGATGAGTATTAAGTTTTAGTACACCAAGCAGAACTGCATATGGTTCTCCCTTATGGTATCAAATATAAAACATCACGTTTGTCTTTGACTCCAAGATCTCGCCAGAAGGAAAAGAGACTTTTCTGTGTTCAAGTTACACGAAAGGGACTTCATTTTCATGGACTACAAGAAATTTTAGTTCTTTAAATGTTTTCTTCCCCTGTGTCTCATCCAAAAAGTGAGATCACAGGCAACTAAAATTTCATATCACAATCAGTCAAATGGCAGCAGGTGACACTCATCACAAATGAGCCATGATATTTTGAGAAGACATTATTAGAAATACGAATATTATCATTAAAGTGCATTCCTTTCAAAATAAAACCAGAATTCCCAGGACACAGCATTAATATTAAAAAGCAAAGAGTTAATGAAACAACGTGGCATTATGGTCTTACACGCACTATTAGAGCATCAGCCAAAGCACGTCTTAATCTTTTCTATTGGTTATGTATATCTGGTAACCGGAAAACAATCACTCTACGGAATAAGTCTGATATTTTCCTGACTTAGTGCTTGTTCGGTTTCATTATAATCTCCTTATAATTTAAAGTCCGAGTCACATTAATTTTAACAAAATATTGACAACTACTACCTACATATTATCCACGTACTTTGTGGGACCCATTACTTCTCTACATTATAATCTCATAATAATGAAACCCAAACAAGCATTTAGAAAGAATCTCAAACCATTTGCAGCCAAATGAAACTTTTTCTCCCCTCAAATGATATCAGAGTATATTGATCAAACAACATAATTTTCAGTTCTACATACGAACATAGCCTTCTGATAAAAGAACAAAATTTCATAGGTGAGATTTTCTCTTTCAAGAGAGTGCAGGTAAGAAGGGATAATCAATTGCACACTTACATGGTCTTATGCTACAATTTTGCAGTCTTATCACATGATAACAGTGGCTCATTTTTGCCCAACAAAAAACCAAACTTTCCACCCCAATACTACAAAATATAAAATTAAAAAGATTAAAGGATGACATAGAAGGAAGCTATGATGCACCAAGGACACGCCGACACGTGATTTTTCAAAAAAATATTGACAGGACACGCAGTTGACACATTGATTAAATTATTTAAAATTCTTCATTTATACAGTATAAATTTAATTTTATACTAACCTTTCAAAAAAAAAACTAATTTTATACTAGTTATTAATTTTTTTTGTTGAAATATTTTAAATATGAGTGCCTATTTGTTAGTTAATAATAACTTAGAGTTAAAAATATATAATATTTCTAATAAAGAAAGAAAAATAACTATGGTCAAGTGTCCAATGAGTGACACGATACCCTAGTTGAAGTGTACGTGTAACAGAGGAAGGAAGTATAACCTTTTCTTTCTACGAAACTCATAGCAGGCAGCACTCAACACACAAGAAATGTAACATTTGTCATTTGTGACTCTTTTAACATAAGACTGTCAAATTATAAGCTTGGATATCATCTTTTAGCATACTGCTCTTTTAAGTTTTTGTTAGACAGAAAAAAGCAAAATAAAGTGGCAAATAGTGTAACTTTGTGTACATGTAAACTAAAAACAATCATCATCTACCACGCCGAAAGAAGAAAATTCAATTGGCAAACCTTCCGAGCTGCAAGCTTGTACTTCTTGCCTTCTAAGAGAGCCAATCCAGCAGCGCAACGTAATTTTGCAATTGTAATGGGATCCAAGGCATCTTGACTTTGCTCAGCCTTACTAACATAGCTTGTAACATGGGTGAACTGACCCATCTCTATGCTAACTAAAATTGCATTCAGACACATATGAACAATATGCTTTGATGTCGTGCAATAATCACGCGTTCGGACGTAATTCTTAAAAGCATCTCCAAGCTGACCATGTGCAAAGTAAAAATCTCCAAAATCATTGTATCCCATTCGAATGCTCTCTTTGATCAAATTTGTCTGCATGAAAATAGGGGAATAAATAGGCCTGAAGAACGGTCAAAAATCCTATTCGTCTTCCAACATAATTGACAGGGCCAAAATACAACCATAACCATTATTTCAACAGGTAAAATCATCATGCCAAATAAGAAATTGATGTGTGACCAATCGATATATTTTGACCACGTATTCATATCTACTTGCCATGTTCTGTGTACAGAAATTTGTAACTCTGAGCTCACATTTTCGACATGAAAAAGCGAGATACAGAAACCAAGCTGTCACAGTAAGTGAAGGTTCATTCTACTAAACAAATTAACAATATGACCAACTTATATAAATTTGAAGTAATTGCTTACAAAAAAATGTTAACAAAGTTTCGAATACAACAAAATATTTTGTCCAACAGAACATTATAATTTCTTTTTCTCCTTCAGAAAAGCAACAAAGCCATTATCAATATGAGTGACTTATCAAACTCATACATCACAGAAATACAACAATTCTATTGAAAAACTTCATATATCACAGAGATCCAACAATTCTATTCAAAAACTACGTTGACTATATCAACCCAAAGAGAATCAAATGATCAGATAAAAGCAGGAAATGTTTGATTTCCACATATGAGACTCGCATATACTATGAAGAACTCTCTAATATGGAAAAAGGACAAAGGAGAAGACTTTGAAAATAGTAAATATCACATAATGCTCACTTTGAAAAGTGACCCCAAAAAAAAATGCAATCTCATACATAAAAATACATAATGCGGCTCTAACCCCATCTACCACAAACAATAGACACCAAGCCAAATCATATACGCATCCCAATGGCACTCTGTAATTGCAAACAAAAAACCAAATACCTAAGTGTGTTTACAAAGATTTGATACACATGAATATGGATAGAAAAGTAGAACGAATATCACTCAAAGCAGCTCCATAAAATAAGATAGAAGATATTCCTGCAAAGGTGCTAATGTAGGCAAGTAGTAATCACTATACCCTGTAAGCATTGAGCTCGTTCTCGAGCCTCTCCTTCCTCAACTCAGCCCGCCTGTCCACAGCATCAGCCCAAGCATTATCCGGCCCATAATTGGGACCCAAACGCCCATCAATCTTCGCCACAACCTCTCTGAACAGCTGCGTGTTCTCCCCCTTCTTAATCTCGTCGTAAGCCATCCTCAGGGCATCCAACTGCATCGAAGCGTTGCCGCATTTCTCTGCGATAAAAAGAAGCCGACTGATCTTCGTGCGTCCGGTGTACAGCGCCGCGTACGCCTCGACGTCCAGTTGCTCGCCACTTATGATTGGTCTGTGACGCTTCGACTCGTCGCCATCTCCACCGCCATTAACGTATATCTCCTCATCTTCGATCATCTGTCCAGTGGCCTCGTCCTCCGCCTCCATTTCGTGATCTGTAAACACCCAAACGATGACGTGCTATCTAGGGTTTTCGTTTCTCCGCTCTCTCTCTGGATTTCAGTGCTTTATGTTCTATGCGTGTAGAAAGTGAGAGAGAATAATAAACGTGGGCTTCGCACGTGTACGATTATAGTACTATATTCTGTTGGGCTGGGCACAAGAGCCCAAATCTCTGTACCTTGTGTTCTGTTACGTGTATAGTGCTTACAAAAAAAATACTTGGCAGATTTTCATCGATAGTCGGTCAAAAAAATGACAGTGATACAAGTGTTGTCATCTCAACATCTTTAAATTTGAGGAAATTAGGTCATGTACCCTATAAAAATAACTAATTTGATTAATACCTTTTAAACTAATTAAAGCTTTTAAATAAGTAATTATTACGTCCTAAACTGTTAATTAAAATTTAAAACCCACACCTATTTCAGTAACCCCATAGAAACCCTCTCCCTCTCCCTCTCCCTCTCCTCAACAGCTTTGATTTCATTTCAGAAGACAATTTGGTGCAGGGTTCCAAGCCGTGATTGAAGAAATTTCTCAAGAGTCTTTGTTGGGGAACTCGAGCTCTTTGAATCTTTCATCCTCTGAACTTGTGTCTTCCAAAACTACATATGATTTATAGAGCTCGTAAAGTATAAGAATATGAAGAATTACTGCTGAAGAATCACCATCACAATTACTCTTACTTCCCACTCTCAGAGTAACAAGCAAGCACTCCTGAAGATACCCACCGTCTTCAACTTCACCAAGACACACCTCCCAAATCTAGAACAATCAGGTACCGTCTAAGCTAGCTTTGCAAAAATTGCGAAGTCCATCTCGCCACCAACTGTTCGACTCAATTCCTCGTCCAACAACTGTCCTCTGGAACACAATCATCATTGGCTACATTTGCAACAACTTGCCCCACGAAGCCATCAAGTTTTACTCCCTCATGAAATGGTCCACCACATCCACTCCTCACCCCCATATTTGTGATGCTTACACTTATTCAACCACTCTTACAGCCTGTGCAGAAGCGAAGCAATTGGTAATTGGTAGAGCTTTGCGCTACCATATTTTACGTTCCAACATCTGCCAAAGTAGAATTACTGCTGAAGTAGGGTAAAGGAATTCAGGCATAGCCCACAATTTATTTATTTTTTTTGGTAGAAATGGATTTTTTAGCAAAGTAAACATTGATTTTTATTTGTATTTTGAATATATGTAAATGATTTTCTCGAGTGTCAAAAGTTTCTGGCCAACGTTGTATATATTTTTAGCCGTTGAATTAGAATTTCGAAACAAGGAATGTCTCAAATCTAATTGCACAATACGTGATATAGTTGAACTCGATATGTATAGTGTATATTATATTATCTTAGGTTGTATAGAAACTTCTGAAAGTTGGATGAATGCTAATGGAGATTCAATGCCGAAGTGCAAAACAAATCAAAAGCAAGATAAATCTTTTATAATCAATATCTGCACTCCAAAAAGGAACATAACACATTAATGACTGACTCACTATTTAACCAATCATTTTTTTTTTAATTTCATCACTTTTTTGAGTTCGTCACTTTTTTTTTTGAATTTTGTCACTTTTTTGAATGTTGTCACTTTTTTTTAGTTTTTTCTCACTTTTTAAGTTTTTGTCACTTTTTAAGAAGATAAAAAAATGAAGTAATATGTTATATTTTCCTAATATAATCAGCATGTTGATTGGCCCAAACGTGGTGATTATTTTAAAAACACGATTACTGGTGTTGTCCAAATGGATGGTGCTAATTTGATATTTGTATTTTTTTTGAGTTTGTGTTACTTTTTTTTAAAAAGTGACAATTTTTATTAAAAGTACCCCTTTAAATTTCCTAGTCAAAAGCCCATGTACAAACATATTAACCTAATTTTCTTTCGTTTATGTGGTCAAAAGAAATTCAAGCCCTGTTTGATGCTCATTAATTTTTTATTTTTTTTTTTGATAAAATGAGTTTTGGAATAATGATTTTTTTGACTAATGTGTAGTTAAAAAGTTAGAAATTTTTTAGGTTTATGTGCAAATTATTTTTTTTGTAGGAATATATGGTTAAAAATGAATTTTAAAAAAATAATTTTTGAAAAATGGGAGACAAACATGAGCTCAAATAAACTTTCTTGAGTTCTGCTATGTGTACACGGCACTTTGTCAGAATTTTTTTTATAGAAAAACGCTTGGCGGATTTTCATCGACTGTTGGTAAAAAAAAAAAAAAAATCATATAGGTGTTGTCATCTCATCACCTGTAAATTTTCTTGTCAATAACACCTATACAAACAGATTAACCCACCTTTATTTCACATAACAGGAATTCAAGCCATGTTTGATTCAAACATATTAACCCACCTTTTTTTTTTTGAGAAAAATGAGTTTTAAAATAATGATTTTTTGGAGAATGTGTCGTTAAAAAGTAAGAAAAAATTTGAACTTATATGCAAATTATTTTATTATGAGAATGTGTGATTGAAATGAATTTTAGAAAAAAAAAATAGCTTTTTGGAGAATGGTAGATATACACGGGCTTAATAAACTTACTTGAGTTCCACTATGTGCACTGGACAGTTTGAAAATATTTTCTTTTATAGAAAAACACTTGCCGAATTTTCATTGACAGTTGGTTAAGAAAAATTGCAGACATACATGTATTGTCATCTCAACACTTGTAAATTTCCCAGTCACAACCCCTGTATAAACAGATTAACCCATCTTTCTTTTCCCTCGTGTGATCAAAAGAAATTCACACCTTGTTTGATATTCATTAAAAATAGTTTTTTTTTTTTTTTTTGAAAAAATGAGTTTTAGAATAATGATTTTTTGGAGGATGTGTATTTAAAAAGTAAGAAAAATTATGAGTTTATATGCTAAATATTTTATAGTAAGAATGTGTGGTTGAAAATGAATTTTAAAAAGCAAAAATACAAAAAAAAAAAAAGAATTTTTGAAGAATGATAGAAAAATGAGGCTCAATAGCTTTTGAGCTTTTCCCTCGCCCATGTTTACTATAACTTTGTAAAAAAAATGACATGAATCATAATAAACATTTTAAATGAATCTGAGTGACGAAATAATTTGTATAGTCGAGTTCAAATTTATTGAGAATAGAAATTTCACGATATTGCAGTAAAATTTGGTTTCTAAATCTAAAGGGTTGAATCATGCATGAAACTTCCATTCTTCTTTGAGATCTCTCGTTTGGTGCGCATTATCTCTAGCAAATTATCACTACTACGTCTAATTGCATTGAAAAAGCTTCAGCCGACGACATACCCTTTGCCATCCTTCATTGCCTTCCTAATTTCTGGCACTTCGTGATTTGGGGTCTTTCCACGGATGAATGCATCCTTCCTTGTCAAACTGTAAAAGTTACATGGGCACTAAATTTTGAGATTGCATGTTACCAACTGTATCTTATATGGTACTCTGCTAGAATTGTTATTGTGTAATTGCTTGCTTACACCATAAGTTACAGATCGCAACAAGCAATAAAATGGATTTCAAATAAATATCGCCCACAAAGACTATTTTTACCTATTATCAAATTTTCTTATTCTAGAACTAGCTTCAAATTAGATTCACGTGGTAACCAATTAACAAATCAAGAATTTAGTGTTACGTATTGGAAGATGAGGGATTAGATTGTAAGGAATTTCTATTTCATGTAGGTTAATATCCTCTTAATCCAACATTATTCAACCTCTTTTCAAATTTCATGTGTGTTAAGAATAAAATTATTCAGTTTTAGATAATAATCTCTCGAGTAAATCTAGACCTATTCACATTCTCGGATTTTCTATATCTCTGCATAAATTTATGTACATACAAAAGTATTAATTCGCAAAACTCAATCAAGATTGTATAACTTATAAGAGTATCTTTGGATCTCTTATCAAAATTTATGTCACTTATTGCACTAATTATTAAAATATATCACTTCCTAGTCTCAATATATTTCCTGAAATTCATCAATTGATGATCAAGCAATTGAATATAATTAAGCACACATTAAGCAGATAACACATAATCAAAGTTGCATGGCGTCTTTTGAATTAAATAAATATTAAAATTAAGCTATATCGTTCATCCTAATTCCTAACATTTAAGAAATTAGTCACTCATAATTGCGGAATGAAGCAAATAAAAGATTGAGAACATCACCGAAGATTCAATTACAACGAAATAAGACAAGAATTTCAAACTATTGTTGATCTTCAACACAAATCCCAACGGATTTTCAATCTCTTTCTTGACAATAGTAGATCCCTTGACAAATCTTTGGTGTTCGGCCTTCAAATTCCAAATTGAGCAACAAATCTTGTGAATCTATGAGTATGATATGTTGATCCCTAAAATAGTGTACAATCAATAATTGATTCAAATTAGGATAGCAAAATTTTGGCTGCTTGAAAAGCCATGAGATCACACCCTTTAAACTCGTGTGATTGTATAGTAAACGATTGATGTTTAGTGTCGTGCTTGTTGCAATCGCTCGAGAATAGACCGTTGTGATCGCAACTATCAATATTTTTTCATTTCCTCTCAATTTGGTCCCTTCAATTTCTCGTTTAGCCCAAGTCCTCCAAAATTGCAATGGGAGGTCCTTCAACTGTCAAACATGACAATTTGATCCCCAACTCCCAGAATTCATCCAACTTCGATCATTTTCATAAAAAACACGTCCATTTTTCATCACTTGTCATCTAATACCAAATTTTAACCTAAAATAATCAATAAAAATACAACAAAAGTATTTATTCATTAAAAGTAATCACAAACGTCTACTTTTAATAGTCTGAATAAGTGATATATCACGTTTATCAGTTATTACTGTTGAATTACAATTTGATTATGGGAAAATATGATGTTTTACAAAAAGGTTAAAGTACGTTTTCAAGCAAGAATTGTAAAGCGTTAACTACGTTATACAAGTGAATTTTCAATTTCTTCTCTAAGATAGTTTTTGAAATAGTATACAAAGGTTTTGCCGACTCAGCTCCATTTGTGAGTGTCTCACTAGCCTAAATATATTATGCTTAAAACAACCACTCTACTAATTTTGAATTAATCTACTTGTACAACGATGGTTGACAAGATTTGTTATTAATGTTTGACGTGACAAATCTGAACAGTTGATTTGAAAAACAGTTTTTGAAATTTTTTTAAATAGATAAATGTGATGATGTCAAATAATGATTATCAACAAATCTTGTCAACCATCATTGTACATGTAATACGATTGACTTGTATTACCGTGTTTTTTAATCTTTGATGTGTTGCGTTTCATTTTATTTAATCTCTAATTGTGTTGATTGGGGGAGAAAAGAGCTGTCTAGATGTTAACTAAATGGAGCTTTTTCCAAGAGGAAGAAAAATGGAGAGAGTGCGGCCCCCTAGTCATTGTAACAAATTAAATTTTATGAATATGGACAAGGTTTAGTTAAAAGTATCTTTCCAACGTAGGAAACCTTGTTTACTTGTCTGTGCTGTTAATCATACTTTAAAAAAAAATAATCAAGTCAAATTAAGCCGAAGTTTTGTAATTTTTCTTTTTTGATGACTCAGGCTTTCAAACTTCGCCCGACTAATCTTGAGGAATGATGGTCTTTCCCCCTGGTTCCCTGCTCGGATTAATTCCAATGCGGACACAACTTATACACCATTGGACCTGATATTCGATGGTTCTCCTCCACGTGGACTTCTGCCTTCCAACAAGGTTTCGTAATTTTTTAGTTAAACAAATGCTCGGCTATAAACTTAAATCTTATAAATTATTATAGTATTTAGTCAATAATTTCGGGGTTTACGTAGCCAAATTTATAGAGTTTAGTACATCTTACATGTCATTTTCCTTGCAATTGTTTTATGTCAAGTTGATGTTTGATTGCATTATCTGAAAAAAATATTTCCTTTTGAGTTCTTTTTTAATTATACAGTCTCTTAATAAAAAAATTTATATGTAAATCGAAAACGTTTTTCTATTTTTAACATACATTTAAAAGAAAAATACTATTTTACGAAAAAAATGTGGTTAAAAAGATTGTAGTGTAAAGTTTTGTTTTAGTAACGGTTAAGAGTTATTCTCTGGGATTATGCTAGATGTACATCCGATGGTTTACACCCGAGGTTACACCTCCTCACATGGAGGGTGATCCACAAATATTTTATTCTGTGTGGGACCCCTCCATGTGAAAGGGATGTAATGCAATATGTAAATGATTGTGTACATCTAGCATAATCTTATTCTATAAGTACTGGGAAATAACTCAAAAATTTGTACAGGATGACAGCATCTTGTATATTTGTGTGGGTTTTTTTTTTTTGGAATTTGTGTTATCCATTTCAAATTTCTCAAACAATTCTGTACAAATTTTATGTACTTGTAGACTGATTCGTCAGTCAAACGGGCAAAATTCACCTGATACTTGCTGTGTAAACGCAGAACAAGGAGCGTGCAGCCATGAGCCACGTCTCACTGCACTGGATAAGAACGTTTCCACCTCCATAGCAGATCCCAATAAAACGAGTGCTTCTTCCCCTCCAGTATCATTCCCTCCCGTTTTCTGCAATACCTCTGTGAAGCTAGCTTCACGTGTCGACTCTTACGAAATTAAACCCGCACGATTTTAGACCTACGGTCCGCACTGCGAATAATTGTACACAATGAAAATGTAGAAACTACCGTCCCCAGCCTCTCTAAAAACTAGCACCTCTTCTCAAATTCTTTGAGAAAGAGGAATTCCTATCTGCTCTCTCTCCTTCTATCAGTTGCAATTTCGTTAAATCCTTTAATGGGTGCAAATGCATCTGCTATGAATGGGGAACCCAATGGGCCGATGAAGCCCAAGCTGGAGGATATACCGGAATCATGTATGGCCCTGGTTCTCTCCTACTTGGACCCGCCGGAGATTGCCAAGCTCGCACGGATCAACCGGGCTTTCCGGGCAGCCGCCTCCGCGGATTTCATCTGGGTCGCCAAATTGCCCTCCAATTATCCCTTTATTTTAAGCAAACTGCCTGATCAAGGCCTGATTACCATGGGTAAGAAGGATATATATGCCAGGCTCTGCAGACCTAACCCTTCTGACGGTGGCACAAAGGTTTGCTCGTTCAAATTCTTATTCTTTTTCCCCTTTCTGTTCCTGGATTGTGAAATTTGATTGTCTTTTTTTTTTTTTTTGTGGGAATAGGAATTTTGGATTGATAAGAGAACAGGAGGGACATGCTTGTCTATATCTTCAAAGGCGATGGTGATTACGGGTATAGATGATCGGAGGTATTGGAATCACCTTCAAACTGATAAATCTAGGTGGGTATTTTAAACGTCCGCCTGTTTGTTTTGTTGTTGCGCATATATATGCACAAATATTTGTCAGAAAATGTGAATAGATTGATTTTATTTATAGAAAATTTGCATATGGAAAAAATATTTATTTTCGTAATTGCTTTAGGTTTCTTTCTTTCTTTCTTTTTTTTTTTTTTTCATGAGGGATCAAAAGAAAATAGAAGAAAGAATCCTGAAACTAAAAACTTAATAAAAATGATTTATAATTCTGAGTTTCGGTAACTGTGGTAAAAGGAAACGTGAAAATTAGTTGAAAAGAAAGTCTTTTAGGCAGTCTGGAGATGGTGGTTGAATGCTTGAGTTCTTGTCCAAATCTAGGTTCGAAATATATAGTTCTTCTTTTCAATTTCTTTTCACTTTAACTTAGGTGCAATAGGTAAATCCTGCATTGAATTACAGTACTCGCATTGAAAGATCTAGCAACTTTCCAGTTCAACAGATCGACGTTTAAGAGACCAAGAGATGAAAACATTTATCCAAAAAGATGGGGTGGTGAAGAAGATGATCGTCCTCTAGCTCTAACGCAACTCTGCCTCCACCCCTTCGATGCTGGCTAATTTTTGGATTTGCTTAATATTTTAATAAAATTGATTAGTTAGTTTTGGTTGTAAGCAATTTCCCCACATCGTTTTGAAGGAAAGAATCTTGGAGGTATTATTGGTTCTTGGAGGTATTATTGGTTGTAAGGTCGATCTTTGAGATTTTGACGTTATCTTATAAGCTGACAATGAAATTCATTAATAGATTACAGACCAAATTTAATGAACATGGATAAGCAAGTGTAGCTGGGACATTATCCTTTTGGTAAAACAATTTGACCCATGAAAAGCTATGACATCGATCCCCAATGAGAGCTTATGGATATTAATATAACTCTGGCTTTTATTTGTACATGTAAAAAAAGTTTAGAATTTTAGGAACCCGCCGTATTGCCTGAGTTAGGTCATGCAGTAACTTCAGGCTTACAGTTATTTTGGCCTTGTGCATCCAAATCCTGTTAATTTTGTTCTGTCTTTTTATATAATGCTTTTGAATTTAGTAACTAGCAATAGAGAATGAACTGAATGATATCTTGTGGCTTCTTCCTGTAGATTCCAAACATTTGCATATCTTCAACAGATCTGGTGGCTTGAAGTAGGTGGGGACCTTGAGTTCCAATTTCAGGCAGGGACATACAGTTTGTTCTTCAGACTTCAACTGGGAAGGGTTGGCAAGAGATTGGGTCGTCGGGTCTGTAATTCAGACGACGTTCACGGGTGGAACATAAAACCTGTAAAATTTCAGTTGTCAACGCTGGATGGGCAGCATGCTGTATCCCACCACATGTTGGACAATCTTGGAAATTGGGTACACTACTATGTGGGAGATTTTGTTGTCGACGATCCTAATGCATCAACAAAGATCAAATATTCTTTGACTCAGATTGATTGTACTCATACCAAAGGTGGTTTATGTGTAGATTCGGTTTTGATATGCCCGAGAAGTTTAGGCAAAGAGTTGTTTGTAGATGAACCCTATAAAAAATAGTAATTTCCTGAATGCTGAACTGTCCAAGAATAGCTTGCTTCTCGAGGACTGGGATGTTTTGAGGTGGGAGGCAGTCTGTATTGGATTGTGCCACTTTGCCAAAAGGATTCTGACTGATACAATGACAGAAGTGTAGGTTGTAGCAGATGATGGATAGAGAAGCTGACCATGTTTTAAACAGTCCAATGATAGAATGTCATACGACATTATGTAACTTTCTTTCAATCTAGGTGGCACTGTAGCAGGATTGGTCTGTATTTTTGTTTGAACAGTTACTTGATATTTTCTAGTCTCGAGGATTGGTGGTACTTAGATGATTATTGTACATACTTTCAACATAGAACATGCTGTTTTGTTCGGAATGTATATATTGCTTCGTCTGTCTGCTATTTGCATTTCTTTTGGTTCCCGGTTTTGTACTCAATTTTCTGTTCTTCATTTGGACTGCAATTGTTAGCGATGGATTGTTCTTAATGATTTTAAAGGTTGCTTTGGAGCCAATATTTTGGTTGGTGAAGTTTTGATGTTGCTTTGGTTAAGTTACATTGCTAAAAGTAAATTTAAAAATGTTGACAATAATGAACAATTTCTTGATATCAGGCTTCACAATTCAATTAATAGAATAAGTTTTAAAATCATAAGTTACCCTTGAAAGGATTACCCATAAGTAAATAAGTTTTAAAATCATTTAACTTATTATTCTTAAAATTAAATTACTTATGCTTTAACTTAAAAGTGTGAAGAGAATTTGGGTTCCATAAAAATTAAATTTTGGGAAAAAATGTATTTTCGAATAGTGATTTTTTGAAGAATGTGCTGTTAAATAAGAAGGAAAATTTTTAAATTTACGTGTAATATTATTTTATTGGAAAATGTATAATTGAAAAAAAGAGAAAAAATGCATTTTGAACAAAATGAAATGGTATTAAGTTTTTACAAATTCCAAATAAAATTAAGGGGGTGTATTCAATTGAGCGTTTTGAAGATTTTGATGGATTATTTTTTGAAGTAATAATTTTTGTGGATTTCATGAATTTTTTAGAGATTTGTATGAAATTAGTAAAAGTCTTTTGCAGACTTTCATTTTAAAATTTTTATAGATTTCTGTAAAATTGAAAAGACTTTTGAAAACTTTCATTTGAAATAAAATTTATGTGGGTCTAATGCAATATTGTGAAATTATCACAGGATGGTTTTCACAATTCCTTCCCCTTCTCCTTTCCTTTCCCCCATATTATACAAAAGTATTTTAAAAAGAATAAAAATTTAGGACATTAATTAAATAAATAATAATAACAATAATTATACGTATAAAAATAAATTTAATATTCATTAATACAATATACCTTTAAATAATAAATATATAATAAATTTAATTATAAATTAGTTTATATAAAATTTTATAGTTTAATTAAAAATAGATATTTTTTAGAAAAAATGAATGAAAAAAGAAAAAAAAATTATAAGAATACAATTTAATTCTTTCAAAAAAAAAAAAAAAATAGAAATAAACAATAAAAAAGAGAAAAAGAAAAATATAAACAAATATAATCAATATAAACAAATAAATTTTAATCATAACTTTAATGTTGAAAAAGGAAAGACAAATATTGAAAAAAATGTATATTTATTATTTTTTTTTTTTTGTGTGAAAGTCTCTCAAATGTTGTGATTAATGATAAACAAATTTTGAGATTTTATTTTAGTACTTTCTATTTTAAAGTTAGTACCATAAAGACTTCTATAAAAGTCACTAAAGTCATAAAAAATTGAATACCCTTACACTTCAAAAGAGAGGTTTAATTGCATACAACACAACTTTTGTAGACTTTAAAAAATTGTAAAAGTCTCGATACACAAATACTTCTAGAAAGTCTCGAAAAATCTACATCGAATATGTCAAAACATTTCCCCTGTTTGGCGCACATAGTAAGAATGTATTTTTACTGTTGATGTGATGGAGAATATATGGTTGAAAAAGAAGGAAAAATTATTGATAAAATATAAAATATTATTTTATTGAAGAATGTGTGGTTGAAAATGATTAGAAAAATGAGAAAGAGAAAAATAATGTGGATCAAACATAGGGTAAATCTTAAAAAATCATTAAGAGCCTGTTTGTTTTCGATTAAAATTCAATTAAAATTGAAAATATGACCGTCCCACTCGTCTAATAAAAGTTTAATTTTTCATAATGTCTGCCGAATATCTCCATTCAATACACCCCCAACATCTGTTTCCGTTCCATACAACCAAACGAAAGACGAGGGCACTTGCCTAAACATGCTTAATTCAGTGAACTCAACCGCACAATTCACACTCATTTCTTCTCTGTCGCTGTATATAATTGCTGTATGTATTAGGGTTCTAAGTAGGAAGGTACCCTTCTTTCCCTTTACTCTTGACCTCATTTTAATGAGTGATTGTGCATATATATATATATTATGTTTACGATACCTAATATTAATTTTGTTGCAATTTGCGTCGTTTTTTTTCGGGTTTTTCAGTTTCAGAATTTGTTGATTTTTTCAATTATTGAAAATTCTCACCTTATGTAATTTTTCATCGTGTTTTTTTTTTTTGGGTTTCCAGTTTTCAGAATTTGTTGATTTTCCGTTGTTGAAAATTCCCATGTCATGTGATTCTGAACTAGTCAAAACACTGAAGCTTCGAGGGAAAATTTTTACTTTATATTAACTGAATTGATTTTTTTTTTCTTTTCCCATGGGGTGGGCATCGAATTTCTTTTGTTTCTGTTTATATTTTTCTGAAAATTGTATGAATTGTTATGGAAAAAAAATTGTAGTTTCATTTACAGGTAACGGGCATCGAAGAATTTATTTTCTATAGTCAGTTTTGTATAACATTACTATCTTTCTGCAGGGGCAATTCTTAATGTAGGTTTGAACTTTGAAGTTATATAGATATACAAAAGTTAAAAAGTTTATTAGTTCTACAGAGTGCCAAAGCTCAAATGAAGAAAGGTATAAATTTCTTAGACTGCCTTGACGTTGACTTGACCTTGAGTATCTTGACGCTCTTGGATAATCCAGCTGATGTGGTCCGTGCTAGTGTTGTTTCACAGTCTTGGCACCATTTCGGTGAGCTGCAAAAGTTTAATAAGTTTAGCTGTTATTGATGATTGTATTTATTATGCATCGCGTTGGAAAATGTTACTGGCATGAACCATCTTGTTTGCAATAATTTTGATTAGCAGTAGGATATGGATTTTTCTGCTATATTGGTACACACACAGGCACACTTGAATTTCGGATGCCGTTGTTAGTTACGCGACGTTTCATTTGTTTATTAGAATTTTTCTGTTGCACTCGGATTCTTTTCAAATGCCGATCATAATTGTCACATTGCTCTGTGTGCTTGATTCAGTATGCTAGGACATGTTTTTTACATATGATGTTTAACATCTCAGTGAACATTAGATCTCCTTGGTTCCTTTTTGACTTATCATCATGCAATGGACCTACAAAAAAACACGTCTTAGGCGTTGTTAACTTAGGGTTCGCCAGTGTATTGAAGAGTGCCCTTTGACACTCAAGTTAATGACAGGACACATCTTAGATGACATTGGGGCTAGCCAGAGATCAATTGTAGAGGGAAGTTGCATCTCACATTTAACCTGGGGACTAATTTTACACCGAGTGTCCAACTCGAGAAACTTGCATATTTAGTTATGAATAATATGAATTAAAATTTTGAAACCTTCTCGGTAAAGTTGACTAGTGTTTAAATTCAAATGATGGGAAATAATTACAAATGTAAGTGGAGTCCGTGGAATTATTTTGTGTATTTGAAAATTATGAATGCTTGGCCGGACTATCGTAATGCAAGCAGGGAGTTCAACGCGTGAGCATTTGCTTGCCCCCAGTTTGGTTTTTACGAGCTACCAACTCACATTAGGGGGTTTCCATATAGTTGATGAATTGTTTTTCTTCTCTTCTTGATCGTGGAAACTCATGGGAAGAGGTGATGGCTTAATCCTCACTGAAGAATGATGATAAGCTTTGGCCTGGTATGGTCCAGCCTGTGAATGAATTAGAAAAATCAGCCTGGACTGGACACATCATACCTATCAATGGAGATGAAGAAATAACATTGGCCTGCTGTGGCCTAACTCCTAATCCCAAGCAAGCAATCCCAGAAGGAAAGTGACAATAGCCTAGGTATTCCCAAGCTAATTTTGCCACTGCCAAGAAGTTGGGTGCTACTTGTGCGAAAATATGCTGCTTATGCATTTCCATGAAGGACCCAAGTCACTCCAGCTGTTATATGCCATCATCATCCAGCGGTTATCTTTGACCAGGGTCAATGACCATTCAGTTTATATCTCTTTAGGTCTCACTGAAAAAAAAAGTGCTTATCCAAACACTGCCCAAAGACACCCCATCAACAACTGGATGACGCCAATCTTTCCAAACTGCAGAAAGACCGTATGGTTTGCAAGCTCCTCTGCACCATTGGCCAAGCCTTGGATGTAGTGGATCAAAATGGTTCTGGGATAATTAGGTTATCTATAAAGAGCTCCAGTCAGTGATGCTGAGTCAATTAACATTCTTTTGGCAGACTTGTGGGACTGAAGATGGATAGGGAAGCGATTAGCTTCTAAGGTGACAGAATTAGCGGAGGCATAGTAACAGGCAGCGCTGTATGTATCTTTGGTGAGCACGTCCTTTGGAGATTTGAGAAATTCGCTATAATTTTCATGTCTCTCTAGAATATGAGGCTTGCATATTTACTGATTTGCTGGTGAGGTGGTTGGAGTGGGAGTAATGTTCTGGAAATGAAATCCTTTTGACAATGACGAGAAATTTAAGACTGGTTTTGGACGACGAGTGGCGACGATAATCGTATTGATAATATGCAACTTTGAAATCGCAGGTCAGGCAGGGTCCAGGGGGGGATAGTTTCCTCATTTCTGGGGTCAATCTTTTGCTTTTTCTCAGCGCCAAGCCCCACAATCCCCACCTGACCTCATTAGTGCAGGTCCTAAAGGATTTTTGTCATCCCTAAATTCTTTTTTCAAACAGCACAACATAAAATTTTCTGTCTGAGCTAACTTCCCCCTATTTATGTTTTTCACGTATCCATGATCATTCTGTTTTGATATCATTGACGGTCGGAAGGTTAAGAGTGATAGGTATTATTTATGTTCAAAGACCGTAGAAAGACTTCTCACCTTTGCTATCTTGTACAAAGGTTTTTAATCAATTATAAAAAATGATGATGCGCTTGTTATGTGTAAATGTGATTGTCTTTTATAATCATTTTTATGTCTCTTAATCCTAGTTCTTTTACATAAGATTTACTGCCTCTTCCATTCATTTCATGAAAGAGAAAAATTGAACAATGTCTGAGCAAATGATAATATCAATTATTTTTCAGTGGTTGCAAACAGACTTTCTAAACAGCTGTGTCTGAGAATGTTTCCTCATATTGCCGATCTTCAAATAGTTGGACCAAATAATGGAACATTATCAGTGGATGTTGAAACTAGCAACCCGATGGAATGGAAGATTCTTGAGAGGGATCATAAAGTTTATGCTTCTCTAATTCAGGGCCTCACGAAGTCTAAAGATAATCCAAAGGATTGCATAGCGTGTGTAATTGGTGCTTCCAGTACAGATCGTGATCCAGAAGAAAGCGTAGTTAATACTCTTTTTCCGATCGACAGATATATGTGGGGAGGTTCATACTGGTCAAGTAAAGGACAGAGCAACCCTGATGTGCCTGAGACATTAATATACAAATTAATTGCCGATGTTTGTGTTGTTACTGAAATTGATATACGACCTTTTGAAGGTGATCGCTCAGCTTTCTTAAAAAAAATTTCTCTTCCTTTTTTTATTGATTTTTATCAGTTATATTATGTACACGTCGTGTTTAAAAACTATTAGGTGCTTGTCATTACCTGTCTTTTGCGTTACCCTACAGTGTATTGGGAGCCGGGAAGTCCCGTTTACTCGGCGAAGTCTGTTCGATTTCGAATGGGTCATCTCAAATCCCCAAGGAAGAATGGGATCGATTTCTGGCATTTACCATTGCAACAATCTGCAGAAGACAAGTTTATATGGTCATACACTTCACCAGAGTTCCCTATGACACAGGTGACCTTTTGAAGTAGATATATGCAAAATTTAGGTATTTTTTCTATTTTTTTTAATTTTTCTTTTCACCCTCATTGGGCCTGCGAATTAGTTTCTGTCTGGGTGATAATCAACTTAAAACTGCCACATTTTATGACATGAGTCCTTATAAACAACTCGTTGAGAGCATTGAACCAAGTTGAGTGGCAGAAAATGATTTACCTGGCCATTTTCAAATTTATAGGGAACTAGACTTGGTTATTGCTGTTTGGGTTGACTTCTCCAGGGGAAATGATGTTGGGGGTTTTAACCATTGGCATGTTAAATTGCTACTTGAAGGAATTGCATAAAAACTTTGACAATCAGCAGTTGGCCAGAACCTTTTGATTTTCTAATATAATTCACAATCATTTGTTTTGACATTCTTGTATGAATGAAGATTACTTCTGTCACAGATTTTATTGTTTATGCATAATAATCCTACTTAACATGTAATGAATTTACTCTCTCTCTCTCTCAATTTTTCTTCATGGTGGCCAGGCTGGTGGTTGTAATGGGGGACCATTTTCTTTGCTTCAGATGCATCCAGATGAAAGAAACCATAACTTTGCTTATTCTACAAGAATCATGCTTGAATAACTCTTCCTCTGCAAACAGGAAAATCACTTGCAGGAATTCAAGCTACCAGAACCTGTTCTTTGCATTGGTGGATGTTTGCAGATCGAACTGTTGGGGAGGGCTCAGAGAGAAGAAATCGATGGCTTATTCTATATATGGTGAGTCCCTACAGTTGGTCCATTTTCTCTCTTTTATCAAAACTAGTTTTGGCCGTGCAATGCACGGACTTTGATATTTTGATGGTAATGTTAGCGTCGAATATGAAGAATTAAAGAAGGAGATATACGCGAGGTCAGCAAAATGAATAGTTTCATTAACGAAAAACAAAATCGGATTTGTACTCAAATAATAAAAACGGAGAATATCTAGGCATTTAATTTTAGTACTTTATAACTTTATTATTAACTCAACGATCTACAAATATTTATGATGGATATAAAA